TTTCTCCCCATCCATCCATCCATCCATCCATCCATCCATCCATCCATCCATCCATCCATCCATCCATCCATCCATCCATTATCTTTACCCGCTTCTTCCTTTTTGGGTTGCAGGGGTCACTGGTGCCCATGTCCAGCAATTGCTGTGCGAGAGGCGGGGGACACCCTGGACAGGTCTCCAGTCCATCACAGGGACACATAGAGACAAACAACCATTCACTCTCTCACTCACACCTACACAACACCGTAGAGTTACCAATCAGCCTAACATGCATGTTCTTGGTCTGTGGGAGGAAACTGGAGTACCCGGAGAAAACTCACACATGCACGGAGAGAACATGCACCCACATCACAACATCCACCCAGAAAGGCCCCCAGACCGTGATTTGAACCGGGGCAACCTGCTCGCTGAGAGGCAGCAGCTCTACCAACTGTGCTGCATTAGGGGTTTAGTAACATTTAAATTGAGTTAGATGATTATTATTATTATACATGATTGAATCCTGACAGATGTGAAATGTTTTACAGTATTTTATCGAAACAGTGATTGTGAGTTAGTCTTTGCTGTAAACAGCAGCTCTCAGATCTGTTTCAGGTGTAGCAGCTCAGACAGAGACACTTTTCACTTAATACAGTACAAGTACACTCATGGGAGCATTTCTTCCTCCCTCAGAGGTACACTCAGCATCCTCTAGTGGTGATGAAAAAAACCCCAAACCTCAGAATCAGCCTGTACAGAAGAACAGTAAGTACACACAGTGGTCAGTCAAGGAAACTTAGGGTAAAGAACTGCAGCTAAAACGCCAAAAAGCCAAACCACTGACGAAACAACACAAGGCAAATCAATGAGGCACACATTCAAAATGGAAAATAATCCGTGTAATTGGCTCAAAATGTATTTTGCAGCAGGACAACACCAACAAGAAATACTGTACATATCGACAAGATATACATGTATACATAGTCTGTTTAATTAAAATCTGTCTTCAGCTCAAAGAATAAGAACAAATGTCCTGCAAATAAAGGTCCAGTCTAAACATCACCGTGTGTGTCTGGTAGGACACGAAGAGCCAGAGTGATTCAAGCCAAACATGCACAGAGGATCTGTTTTTTATTGTCTCCAAACCACCGACTTGCAGACTTCTTTCAAAACCTGTCTGCAAATAGAACTGACGTTGTATAGAAGAGAAGGCACACTTCTTATTATTTTAGACTCATCTTCTGCGCATTCACAGTGAATTGCTAACATACAAATAAACACAGAGTATTTATACAGTATTTGTGAAAGTCTTCTTACTTTACAGTTTTTTCTATCTGCTTAAAACTTTTCCACGATACTGTTTTTCTCAAAGAATATGAACAGTAATAACGCTATACGCAGATCTTAAGATGGCTGTCATGCAGGTAAATTGCACTTGATATTATGTGTATGGCTTATACACATTCATTTCAATAATTGCATTCAGACAACAGCAGCAGTCTATATATATAATGCCTTTTATTAGCAGTACTGATCATTACATCAGCAGCGGCTTAGCAACTGCAAAAACATTACAGGCATCAGTCGAATGAGACGGCTCAGGCCTGCCGTTCTAATCTAAGAACAGGAAGGAAACAGCTAAACTCTGCGTTCAGCTAAAGTCACATAGGTACTTTACATACAGTTTATTCACAGCATTATCACCAGAAAATAGCCTTCAAACACAGTCCTGTCTGAGAAGAACGTAGACAGTACACCCAGCCCTCCTCAACAAAAACTGATACACAGTACATTCAAGGTGAGTATTTACACTATCCACAAATGATACAGAACAGCTCTTTTAAAAACAAAACATGTTTTTGTGCTTTTCGTTATTACTGCACATCATGATGTCGACAAACAAAAAGAATGAGGCACATTCGTTCGCTCCGGATGCTGACGAATCGTTTCCAGAGCCACCAGCATGGCAGTTGGTCGTCAATGAATAGCAGACAATCCCCAGACTGCAAACCAAGACGAAACCTCTAGAGATGAGTTACACAGTGTTCCCTCAATGCATTTCAGCTCATTTGAAGGCTTTATTTTAACATACAGAGGAACTGTTCATATCAAAATGAGAGCTATTCTGGAGTAAACACATTTCTGGTCATGGTGTTGAATAATACATAACCATTGTGACCACAGAGGGTGTGACAAACTGTCTTATATTCATTTTTTTAAAATTACATATTTACAGTATTCTGAATGAAGTATGAAAGTAGACAGACTTTCAGCGGTGGCGTTCAGCATCAGAAGCATCCGCACAGTCAAAAAGGAGCTGAACAAGATCAACAGTACAAGCCTAACTCAATTAAACAAAACGAGACGTTTAGCATGTAGAGTAAAAGGCATACAGATCACAAAAATACTGCAGTTAGAGTGCTCTTCAAAATCCATTAAATCACTTGATTTTCCAAGTTGTAAGTCCATCAAAGAGCCACATAGAGACAAACAACCACTTACACTCTCACCTGGGGACAATTTAGAGTTATCAATCAACCTAACGTGTATGTTTTAGGTCTGTGGGAGGAAACTGGAGAAAACCCACACATGCACAGAGAGAACATGCAAACAGAAAGGCCCAAGCCAAGAGGCGATCCAGCAACGTCTTCTTGTTGAAAGGTGACAGCAAGGTAACCATTGTGCGGCTGTACCCTCTTCAAAACCACAGCACAGGAAAAAGGTGCACTGATGACTGACATGGTTCCTTCTTGGCACTTTATGTTTCTCTGCTTCAGTGATCAAGCATTATTAAATCTTCCACCAGTTTGATTTGGCACATCGATGTGAGAAAGACACACCGGCTTGGTGTAATCCATCCTGATTTCGGTATATGAATCATATATAAAAAAAAATAGGGATGCACAATATTATCGGCATGGTATCAGTATCGGCCGATATTAGCGTTAAAAGTCAATATCGGACATCAGCCATTCCATTAAAATAACTTGCCGATATAAAAGGCGCTGTTTTTGCCTGCAGTGGCAGCACAACATGATGACGTTACAGCACAACGTGATGACGTTGCAGCGGCAGCACAACGTGATGACGTCACGTGCGCTTACCCCAGCTCACAGCGGAGAGTAAAATTCAAAATGTCGGCGGTGTGGAAGTTTTATTTTTCGTTGGTGAGAATGTGGGATTCCAAAGATTTATGGAGTATGTTGAGCCTCGCAACATCGTCCGCAGTCGGAGATATTTTTCCAACGTAATGTTACCCGAGTTACAAGCCGTCATTTCCGAGGACGTAGAGAAGCTAATAGCTGATAGCATGACTTGTTGGGAGAGTTTTACCACAGACATTTGGACGTCGTGTTAGTCCCGTTAGCATGATTAAGTCTTGCTTGGGTAGACAAAAACTTTGAAATTAAAAAAGGCTTTCTTTTATGCACAGGAGTGCAGAGAATCCCACACTGCAGCGAGGAACCTGGAACAAGCCTCCACAAGTGAGACAGCATCGCAGGTGATTAATGCTAATAAATAACATTTAACACTTTTCATTTAATATAAGTCAAAGTGCTATGCATATGGCTGTTACTGAATATATGTCATCAGCTCTTACAGCTGTTACACAATTTTTGTAGCAAATAAGCCTAAGGACAATGTTCTGACAAAGGAACGTATACAATATCGGTATCGGCATCGGTTATTGGCCAAATAAGTTATAACATATCGGCATATCGGATATCGGCCAAAAATCCAATATCGTGCACCCCTAAAAAACAAACATTAAACATGAATGACATTGTGTTTAATGTTTTAGAGCTACTCTTTTATGATCATTTTAACTAATCTGAGATTCATTATTTACATTTAAACTCAATATTGCTGCTCACTACAGGGTCGGCACAGACCAGCATTCATTTAGTCAATCTACAGACTGCAAATTGATGAATAAAACCATAATTAATGAGGGATTTGCATTATTTTTAAATAATTTTGTGGGTTTAACTGATTCAGTCACTATTGTAATGCTGTATTGATCTGAACACACACCACTTTATGGCCCAGGACACTTGGATAGACTGAATATATGGTTCCATTTGCCTGCTGGGAACATTTCCATTACCCCTATTGGCTCTGAGGTTTCAATCAGAACTACTGTAATTGTCACTTTGCACTGCATCACATTCACTGGACCTTGACCCATAGTGGGCTTACAGACACATAATGCTCAATAAAGCCAGGCTGTGTTCTACAGCAACAAACATGGTATTCAGTGCATTTCTTTTACATTCTCAAGAAGTCTTTGTCTTCTTTTCTGCTCAATTTTTCACATCAGTCCAGTGTCGCGGTTCAACCCCACCCGACGTCCTTGAGGAATTATTGGTCATTAAAGAAACCAGGGAGTGGAGGGGGAGAGAAAAACAGAACAAACAGCTGAGATGCTGTCATTCTAAAAAGTGTGTGGTTGGCAGGAATACTGCTGACATTTCAGTCCTGCCTCCGCGGACATGAGTTATGGTCCCATAACCCTATGAGACAACTTAGAGGCATTTGGCACACGAGTCATGCTTCCTATAGAATACTGAAGACCCTACCTGTACAAAAACATGTAAGCAAGTGCTTGCACATGAGCAGAAAAGAGAAAAATAATACCAAGAAGAACAAGAAGACGGATGTTGCTTTCAATCATCTGTTTAGTCAGAATGACTAACGTCTGTCTGATGAATCACCTCGAGCTATGGATACTTTGATGAGGTTCAGAATTCGCAATTTCTCTTCAAGTACCTCGTTGGCAATCAGACCAACGGGAAATAGAGTTGATAACAGATGGCTGGCAGTCTTGTTAATGTTACAGAAGAAGGACACAGCATCCCACTCCCGGCTCTGCAGCCTCAGTCAATTTCCACAGAGAATGCAGTCTCAAAGTATCTGTCCTCATCCTCTCTGCTCCCCATTTAGGCTTTTCTTTTTTTCTGTCTGTCTTTCCCCTTCATCCCTTCTCCTCTCTTGTCCCGATACTGCTGAGAGCGGGAGAGAAAGGCAACTCTGCATTGCAGACACAGCAACAACCTCAGTCCATCTGACCAATTAGTGTGAGCCATGATATGAGTGGCAAAGCCTGCAGCCAGTCATAAGGAAAGACTCATTATGGGTTGAAGAGGTTTTGCTTGAGAGACTGACAGCACAGTGGGAGCAGGATGACAATGAAATATGAATGTGGGGGGAGCAGAGAGTGGAAAGGGGAGAGGGATTGACGGATGGAGGAGCAAAGGAGAGATCTATGGAAATAAGAGCTTCACTCGTAGACAGAATCCTGTCTCCTTCGTTTCCTCCACAGTCACTGGCCGGTCTGAGTCCTGTCATTGCAGTTTTTCTTACTTATCAGATGGCTCAGGTCCACCAGCTCTCCCAGCTCCCCCCGCTCCAGCGCGCCCCTCAGCAGAGCTCGGCTTAGTCCGGGTGTGTGTTGATGGGACATGTAACCCTGACTGCTTGGAGGAGGCATGATAGGCGGGGGCAGGGGGACAGGGACCATTCCATGGCTGCTGAGGATGTATCCTTCCTGGGCTGGCCAACGCAAAGGCAGAGGCTCGCTGTACTCCATGGGGGCACTGGGCGCTGACACCACCCTCCGACGTTCAGGCGAGTCCTGGGGCGTCATGGGGTAGACATACTCTCCTGCAGATTTTCTGAGGGGGGCTTTAGGTGTACATTTCCCTTCTTTTTCTTGTTTGTTCAAGCAGACGTAGTGCTGACGTGGTGTGTCATTTCCACGGCCATCACCACAGTGTCTGCCGCCCACACCCTGCTGGAAGAGTCTCGTTGTCAGGTAGACGGAGGGAGGCATGCGACAGGGCGAACCCAGACCCACAGAACCTCCCCCTAGATACGTCTGGCTCGTGTCCCAGCCTCCAGAGTTGGAGTCGGACAGTCGTAGACCTCTTCGTTTCTGCTGAGGTGTGTGCTCTGGAGTGGGCAGGAACCCAGGGTCCAGCTCACCAGACTTTACCCACCCATTGGGCATTACAAACAGGGTCTCCCCACCCTGCGAGCAGGAGCGCTCCCCACCTCCTTGCCGTGTCACACTCAGCACGGAGCCCGCCATCCCACCAGCATTACTCAGCAGGCCTCTTTCGCGTCGCTGGATGGAGGACTGGGACGCGCCGCCATGGCGACGGCTGGCAGGCTTATGGGCCATGATCCAGCACACTGCAAGTCCAGACAGCGCTGCCCCGATGGTGAACGCAGAAACTGCAGAGGCCACGAGGAGGTTGAGAGAGACTAAACTTTCTGGTTCTATCAATAAACTTTGCTGCAGAAATCCTGAGGAGATGGGAAACACAAACATAAACATGACAATTAATAACACAAGTCCAAACAACATCCTCTCTCATTGGGTGACTACAGGCTGAAAAATATTCTTAAAATTACAATCCTAATTTTGAAAAGTTGGGAATTTAAATTATCTGAATCTGATGTCAGCAACACATCTCATCAAAGTTAGAACAGGGCCATGTTTACTGTGAATCATACCCTCTTCTTTAAACAACCGTGATCTGTGGAGACCAGCCACTCGAGGTTTTGGAGGGGAATGGTGTCCCATTTTTGTCTGGTATAGGTTGGTTAATAATTCTTGGTCTTCTTTGTCTGATTTTTATTTTTGTAATGTGCCAAATATTTTCAAATGATGAGAGGTCTGGACTCTTCTCTTACAAAGCTGTGCTGTTGCAATGGAGGCATCACGTGGTGTGACATCGTCTTGCCAAAAAGACAATGTCTTTAAGGGAGCATACATTGTTTTGAAACCTGTATGTACTTTTCTGCATTGATGGTGCCTTTATAGATGTGTAAGGTGCCCATGACATATAGGCACTAATGTGCTCACATACTGTCCCATCAGAAAGGCAGGCTTTTGAACTGGGTTGCTAAAAGGCTGGATGGTCCCTTTTCTATTAAATATGAAGGATGTGGCATCCTTGGTTTCAAAAAAGAATTCCAAGTTTTTATCCTCTAACCATAGAACAGTTTTCCACATTTCTTCAGTTCATTTTAAATGAGCTTTGGACCAACAGTGTTTCTATATGGTGCTCACTTTTTCCACAGAAATATGGAAATATTGCATTTATGGATGACTTGATGAGCTTTTACTGACAAACATTTGTGGAAGTGTTTCTGGGTCCATGCAGTGATGTCCATACAGAATCAGACATGTTTTTAATCACAGGCAGGAAATACTGACTTTCATCCATGTTCTTTGCACACAGACATTTCTCCAGATTCTTGAAATAATTTATTGATATTATTAACTTTATATGATAGGACAATCAAAGCATTATTGATTGTCCATTGAGGAACAATGTTCTGAAATGGTTTCACTTTTTGTAGATGCAGTTTTTTCGGGACTTATGAACGTCTGCCCATCTTTACGTCCATAAGATCCAGCTTCTCTAAAATGCTTGTTTTGAACCCAGTTCTGTTAGAGATCTGTTGCCAATAAACTAATTTGTTAATAAAATGCTTCTCCAGCTGCTTTCTGTGGTATCACTTTTAGTCTTTTGTCGCCCTTGTTCCAAGTTTTTTGAGATGTGTTGCTAAAGACCCACCTGCCCTAAAATGTACAATAACTTATATGAATTGTATACAAAGTTCCATTGCAAATAAAATATGGGATAGTAAGATTAGCAAATTATTATATTTTGCTTTTGTTTACATTTTCACAACATCCCAACGTTTTTGGAATTGAGGTTGTACTTGAACAGTTTTCTACAATTGAATTCAAGACTTAAGGTTTGATAATAAATTAACTACAGTAATCCCTCATTTATCGCGGGTGTTAGGGACCACGCCCACCCGCGATAAATGGAAAAACCGCGACGTAGGGATACAGTAGTCCAAGTTTAAGTTCAGTTCGAGTTCAGTAAACTTTGTCATGACATGTGCAAGACTGCAATCACACTCACTCATCACCTGTTACTCCCAATCTCCCTCCTTAAATAAACAATTTAAATTTAAATACTCTAACATTTTAAATAAACAATCCATGCAACATGGATTGTTTATTTAAAACATTATAGTATTTAAATTAAAATTGTAGAGAAGAGAAGCAGGACAGTAAAGGGTTAACCCTTCACACAGCTCTGTAGCACGGAGCAGAAATGTACTTCTTGATCAATTACGCTTCAACAACTGAACATAGAAGTTCTAAAATAATAAAAATAACTTTTAACACTTTAATATTTTGTGATTATGACGATTTTACAATGCGACACACTTTGAATTTTAAGTTGGAAGACAAAAGTCGATCAGCGCATCTGGACAGCAAATAGTTAACCCGTCACAAAGCTGCAGCAGGAGAAATGTGTGCATGGCAGAGACGGAGATCAGCTGATCAGCTGCAGGAGGGAGCTTCCCCCTGCACTTGTGGGCTGCACACATGGTGCAAAATCCATCCATCCATCCATTTTCTTTACCCGCTTGTTCCATTTTGGGTCACGGGGGTCGCTGGTGCCCATGTCCAGCAATCACTGTGCGAGGGGCGGGGTACACCCTGGACGGGTCGCAAGTCCATCACAGGGACACATAGAGACAAACGAGACAAACAAACATTCACTCTCTCACTCACAGCTAGGGACAATTTAGAGTTCCCAATCAGCCTAACATGCATGTTTTTGGACTGTAGGAGGAAACCGGAGTACCCGGAGAAAACCCACGCATGCACGGAGAGAACATGCAAACTCCACCCAGAAAGGCCCCTGGACCGGGGTTTGAACCAAGGACCTGCTCGCTGAGAGGCAGCAGCTCTACCAGTTGCGCCACCGTGCTGCCTGGTGCAAAATCATTTAAAATAATTTATTTTAAATAAAAATATATGACTCATCCATCAATCAGCCAACTGTGTCATGTCCAATCTTATTTTGAAAATCCGCGATATAGCGACTCCGCGAAAAACGAACCGTGAAGTAGAGAGGGACTGCTGTACTACAATAACTTTCCATAACCATTGATTATTATCATCTTTATGTGTTTATTTAATAAAATATTTATGCTTCAGTTGGTCTTTACTCCAGTTCGGCCTTGAGGTCTCAAAAGCTCCAGGTTAAGCGAGGCCTGCACTTGTCATCAGCACAGCTCTGACCGCAGCGGTCGACTCTTTTCTTTCCTCTCACACTTTCCAGCCTGGCCTGAGAGTCTTCTGCTCACATTAGCTCAGTGTTTCCACCCAGCGCTAATCGCTCCCATCTGCAGACACAGCAGCTCAAAAGCCCGTCTCTGGCTTGACCTCTCCGGCTCTTTCATCTTTTGAATAAAAGTCTACCAGGTCTGCAGTCTGGCGTCACTTATTTCTGACAGCATCGGTTTCAAGGAGTTGGAGTAAACGCTAGAAGCCCGTATTTCAGTTTAAGATAACTGTATTAGTGCTTGTGTTTTGGTAAATTTGTGACAAACTGGATTCATTTTATTATTGTGAAACTACACATCTTAACAGAATTGTGACATTCTACATAAACTCTTTAGTTATCATCTCTGACCTTTACCTTTCATGAGCCAAAGGATAGTGCATTGGGAAAAATTAACTATAATTCTGGTTTTTCATCCACCTGAATCAGTTTGACCAAGACACCAATATACTAAAATAAATAAATCACATTGTGCTGGTGAGGGATGTTTTATCCTAGATTTAAAAAAATGCTTTATTATACAGTTTGCTGTAAACTCAAATCAGAACAAAATGTTCAGCCACAAGCACCCAGGTGTAATGAAGCACTGAGCCACATGGTGAAGCCTTTCCTAACTAACTAACCAGAAGCAACATGCCACAGTGTTGCAACCTACCATCACAGTCTCCTAGATGGGAGCTAGCGTTTCCATATTCCACATCTTGTTGGAAAGGAATCCTGCAGCCACAGAGAAATCGCACGTGAGCAACATTTTTCTCAGTGAGCAACACAAACAGAAGGTTGCTCGTTATTTGAGCTCTAATGGGTGAAGAATAAATCCTGAATGAATGTTCAACACATAAGACATAATCTAGAATTAAACAGAATGTAAACACCGTAAAGATGCTCACTGTTCGAAATCTGATAGTAATGATCTATAAAATTGACATGATGCCCTTGTGTCATGTCAGTCATTCATTGTAACAAGATACGCTGCAGATCTCTTTATTGATCTCTTCTTTTCAGGGTCAAAGGTGAGGGCAGCTGCACAGATGGTGGTGGGAGTTGAATTACTGACAGTTCAAGGTTTTGTGTTTCCATGTGCTAAAGACATAGTTCAATTAGCACTGCTGAATATTTCATGCTTTCTTTGTTTAGTGTTGTGTGTGTGTGTGTGTGTGTGTGTGTGTGTCCCCCCTTCACCGTGTGCCTGGTCTCAGGAAGGAGCAGGTACTGCCTTTGGTCCAGCCACAGTACGGATCCCTGGAAGCCAGACAGCTTCTGCAGGAGCACACAAAGGAAATATATTACAAACTGTTTCATAGCAGCTGAATCAAATACTTAAGATTCCAGTCAGTGTTGTAGTACTCAAGAGCAGTCTTGATACCACTTTTTGATGGTCTCGTCTTGGACTCGACCACATTTGGTCTCGGTCTTGTCTCGGTCTCGGACATTGAGGACTCGGGATTTTATTTCAAGACAAGACCACAACTGTGGAAATGTCACTAAATTGCCAGAATATTGTCCAGTTTATTTGTGCAGTACACAGAACCTGGAAGAGAGGGGAGCGGCTGTCTGCTGTAAAGCCTCATTCAGAACTGGTCACGGCTGCACTTTGGGTCAGAATAGATTTGCTAGCAGTAAGCAGTCTAAAACACGACTTAATCAGTTAATAAAAAGCTTTTATTTCTCATTTCAAATTGTTTCTGAACTGTTCGTGCTGGAGCCGCAATTCTCTACGGCGGTGAAGTTAGTTTTAGGTTGGACGTTGGACATTGGAGCTCCGTGGATTCAGAGGTGTGTTCCTCTCGTTCGATCCGAAGCAGGCAGTCTGATTTCAGCTCAGTCTGTCCCTCCTCTGAGACGTAACGGTTCACTTAGGGACCGTCAACAAATTACCGAACCAAACACTCTTCAGAAACAAAAATTAATATATTTTACATCATTTGACCCATTGACACAAAACTAATGTTAAACTACTCTAATAGACCTGACACACAAGACACCATCATTTATTTTTCATTTTAAAGCATTTTCTTATTAGTTATTGAGTGAAAACCATGATTTTTGAACAAATAAATTATGTAAAATTAGAAAATGCTTTCAAATGAGAAATAAATGAGTGTGCCTCGTCTGTCAGGTCTAGTAGAGCAGTTTAAGTTTTGTGTCAGTGGGTCACATGACATGAAAATGATCGTGCAAAAAAAAAACACTGAATGTCTGATTTATTTGTTATGTAGCTTTGGCAATTTATAAAAGCTGATACATGCATTCGAAAGCAAATTTAAAGTTGCAGTATGTAACTTTTATAAAAAAATATTTTTTATAAAAGTTACATATGTTTTTTTTACATATTTGTTAAAACTGTCACTATGTCGTGACAGTATGAGACAGATAATCTGTGAAAAGATTGAGCTCCAAGACTTGAGGTCTTGGTCTCGGACCCTAAAAGTCTTGGTCTTGACTTGGTCTCGCATTACGTGTTCTTGATTACAACACTGATTCCAGTCATCAAGAAATGGTCAGCTCGTAAAGATGGAACCTGGAAAACTGTTGAGGGTGAAGGGAATGACGAGCTGTAGTTTGGAAATATGTGGAAAATTTGTCAAATAAAATCACTTAAGAGACATTCATCACAACATTTAGATTTTTCTACCTGGATTATTGAGCATGCATCAGGAGATTCATCACAACAGTCAAACATGCATCGGGTAGATAGTCATTAGCATTATGGAGCATTAAGGAGCAGATTCAATAAGATTTTTTCTTCATCTGCTACCTTTCATTTTATATTTATAATTGTTTTCTAATTACATATATGTTAATTGATATGTATTTTATTTTGTTATGAAATGAATAAATAATAAATAAATAAATAAATAAATTAGCATTATGTAAATGTGATATATATCCTCTGTGGGAAGCACGTTTACAACTTTTGTGTTCTAAATAAATCATAATCTGGAAGCCATTTTCTTCAAGTTAAATATTTTTCTAGGGGAATAAAAAGTAAACAAAATGAGCTAGCTGTGATTTGACAAACACAGGTGGCATCCGTCCTCTGCTGGCTGAAGCTAAACCAGAAATGTTAATTACATTGGAAAGTGCTGTAACAGGTGGAGTGAGAAATCGGAGAATCACATCACTCACCTCATGCAGCGTGAGTGGAGGTGGCAGCGAGATGTGGGCACTCTAACCAGACATGAGGGGAAGGCCAGCAGCAGAGTGTGACTGGTCCGGTCCAAAGTCAGGGACAAGAGCAGACGAGCCTGAGGAGAGTCCTCACCACACCTGGAGACAGACAAGACAGTTACTGACGTCTGTTTTGGTCTCAGAAGAACCAGTGACTGGATCAAAGACCTCGTTCAAAAGAGACTGGGCGAGCACAGTCCACCCACAATCAAACACTCGAAGACTCACAGAGGCCAGTTCAGCTAACTGTGGCAGGACTCCCCCCCTCCGTTAGACTGTCAAGCGTATAAAAGCTCGGGATTCATAACTAAATCAATAATGGACAGTGATGGTTGTTGTTCAGCTGTCCACAAAAGTAAACAAACCCTACAAGGATGCAGAGAGAAGGAAAGAGGTAAAACTGATCTGCTGGTGCCACTTCACGGTTCACTGTTGTTGTTTTTTTAACACATTTATTGAGAGGTTTGTAATTTCATTCTAATTATCACAAAGCATTTATTCATTGTAAAATAGTTTGTTTTCCTGTTTTATTTTAGAGTGATGAAATGAAATTACAAGTGAAAAAGTGTCTTGCCTGCAAAAACTTGTTAGATTTTATGCCTACCCAAACCCATCAGAAATGTTAATCTCTCCTTTCGGACATCATCCTTTTTTTTTTTTTTCTCAAGTTTTGACACAGCTTTCATTTATTTAATATACAGGTGCATCTAAAAAAAAGTTACAATATTGTGGAAGAGTTCATTTTCTGTACATCATTTCAGAAAGTGAAACTCATATATTACATAGTTTCATTGCACATATAGTGAAATATTTTAAGTCTTTACCTCTTGTAATTTTGATGATTATGGCTTAAAAATAATGAAAAATCAAAACTTAGTGTCTCAGAAAATTTGAGTATTCCACAGCCAGCTTTTGGTGCCTTTAGCAGTCCTGTTGGAAAATGAGATCAGCATCTCCATAAAGCTCGTCAGCAGACGAATGAAGTCTCTAAAATCTCCTGGTAGATGCTGTGTTGACTGTGGACTTCAGAAAACACAGTGGACCAACACCAGCAGAGGACATGGCATCGAATCATCACTGACTGTAGAAAATTCACTCTGGACTTCAAGCAACGTGGATTCTGGGTCTCTCCTTTCCTTCCTCCAGACTCTTGAGACTTTGATTTCTAAATGATGTGCAAAAATTACTTTAATCTGAAAAGAGGACACTGGACCACTGATCAACAGTCCAGTTCTTTTTGTCCTCAGCAGGTAAGACAATTCTGATGTTGTCTCTGGTTCAGGAGTGGCTGGACTTGAAGAATGAAACATTTGTAGCTCATGTCTAGGAGTTAATCAGCTGATCAGGGTGTGACATCAGGAGTTTACAATATTGGATCTCATCACAATACTGTAATTTTCTGAGACACTGAATTTTAGTTTATTATTTGTAAAACATAATCATCAAAATTACAAGGAACAAAGGCTTGAAATATTTCACAGTGTGCAATGGATCTATGTAAAATAAGAGTTTCACTTTCTGAAATGACCGACCAAAAAATAGAACTTGTTCACAATAGTCTAATTTTTTTTAGATACACCTGCATAATATGTTTATATCTATATATAACCACACACACACACACACACACACACACACACACACACACACACAC